AGCAATGTAAGACTAGAGGTAAGGCAGCTAGTCATCACCACCCACCGCCAACTCTTAAGCTACTCTTTTACCAACGAATAGTGTGACAGAGATTCGAACCCGCGACCCACAGATTGCAAGTCGAGCGCCCTAACCACCTGGCCATGCCAGGCCAAGTCTTTGGAAGGTAGCAGGTACATTTGTAAGACCAAAAAACATCACTTTAACGTGATAAAGTCCATTATCCATTATGAAAGCAGTTTTATGTCGATCTTTCATCTTAACAGGTACTTGCTAATATCCACTGGATACGTCTAATGTACCAATACAGGTTGACCCTGTATAAATATGAGCCAATAGATAGCAGTCAGATTCTGAGACTTCCTGTAATCCACACATAAACTAAACCCATTAGTCTTCTTCTTGACAATAACTACTGGAGAAGCCCAAGAAGAAGTGGAGAGTTCAGTTAATCCAGCATTTCATCCATTTGATTATGTAACACTTGTAATTTAGTGGGAGAATGACGATAAGGTTTACGAAACACTTGCTTGTATGTCGTGGTTACAATATTATGTTCAGAGAAATCTGTGAGCCCAGGTTTAGTATTATAAATATCAGCATATTTTAAAACAAGTTGCTTTAATTGCTCATAGTTCTTTCTCTACAAATGTGAATATTGTACCTCTTCAATCAGTATATTTTCAGTCTCAAAGTCATGCCTCACAGATAACACATTTAATTCAAGAAAATTTGAGAATAGGTTAAGGGTTACTTTGTTTTACTGAATGAAGTCTAATCCAATAAGACAAGATACAGCCAAATCTTTGATGACAACAAAACATTGGTCCACAGTGCTATTTGCTACTAATAGTTTTGTTTCGAAATATTTTTACACTTGACAGTTTGTCATTCCATCTGCAAGACACATGCTACCCTTACTCCAAGTTTAGTTGAAGTGTTTGATAATTTATCTCAGCTTGTTGCTATATATTTTCATTTACTACTGAATAATTCGACCCAGTATCTATAAGACCTACTACTTTTACACCATTAATGTTTAGGATTAGGTGTGGCAGATCCATTTTATTTGGTATTAAGTAGTTAATGGATGGTTTTACTTTCATGGGACTCAAAACCTCCTCCTTTGATCCCTGCACTTGTTTCCCAACCACTGTCCTTCATTTCTTTGTTCTCTGTTTACATATTTTATTTTCTTGTGACAATGCATAAATAAGAGTCCTATTTGTTTACAAGTAAGGTCTGTTACAGTGCTCAGTTTAAATCACTTCACTATTAAAAGTTTATTTATTATTCCGTCCATGCTCGTATTGCTTAATAAATTTAAGCACATCAGCAATAAATATGACAAAGAGGCTTTTCAAGTATTCTCGTGAAGCAACGTGCAATTGTGATATTATACAGTTCATAATTTCTCTTTCTGTAGCTTCAGAGTTCCATAATTTATAAATTTTCACAGTTTTCCAAATAAACGTCTCAACTGACTCCCCTGAATTAGCATGGTGCTACAGAGTTCCTTAGGCAATTCGATATTATCTAACACTGCTGGATACAAATTAATGAATATTTCTTTAAATTCTCCCCAGTTTTCAAAAGCCAGTTCTAATCCGAAAGTCTTCCACCATTCTAGTGGCCCTCCCCTCAAACAAGAAGCCTCAGTTTCCATCCATTTATTCTCAGGTACTTGATACATTAAAAATATAGTGTCTTTCTAAACTTTTAAGAAACTCCAAGACATTAAAATCCGACATACCATCGAACTTTTAATAGGCAAGGGTGGTGGGTTGACTGTGGTGACGTAAATCGATGAACTTTCTACAGGTCTGAAGGTAAAATGGTTTGTGGTTGAGGGTAGGGACTCTTAGGTTCTCTCCTAAGTAGATCAGTCACCATGTGTCTTAGCATTTCCAGCTGTTCTGTCAATACTGACACAGACTGCTTCAAGCTTGCCACATCAGACTCACCAACTTCCATAGTAACACAGTTATTTTCAAACACTAGCTAACTTATAACTCAATAAACTTAAATTATTGCCATATTAATCACTCGACACCAAATTGAGAAATAAAAAAAAAATCCAAAGTCACAATTCAACCTTTATGAAAAGGTCCCTGTTCGGGCGCCAATGTAATGGTCTAAAATGACCACACCACTACAATCAGGGTTCAAAAAGAAAAACACAATAATAACACAATAAATTCAACACAGTTAATAACAATTTATCTGAAATATTAATAAATCAATATTAATGGAATCAGGAAAAGAGTAAGAAAGAAAAAACCTAATTCAAAAAAAAACAAAAAACAATACAGTAGATACAATAAACAAACAATACCTTTCGATATGGTTAATAATAACACCAACAACTATACCCTTCAGAGAGTGAGTGTGAGTGAGTGAGTGAGTGAGTGAGTGTGTGTGTGTGTGTTAGGGAAACTTCTGGCAAGGTATTTATTCAGAGAGTAGGTCACGAGAGTACAACCTCATGTGGTCATAAATTTACATACTTTTCTGCTACATTAATAGTATATGTACGTCACCGCTAGAGAAGCTTCGTGTCAGTTTCATCATTCACACAGATATTTACTAAAAATACAAATAGTTATGTAGAGGGTGAGTTAGTGTTTTAATACAACTAAAAATTCATAGATAAACTAAACGCTAGAACGAAATAAGTGAATGATAAACACAACCATAATCATTAAAAACCTATAATTTGGTATCTCACAGAGTGATATCGAATAAGTTTATCAAACAGGAGAGTCGTTCAATATACGGAATTACAGAATAACATTTATTAACTGGACAAAATGTGACAAATAAAATATACCTTTACTGCAACACTTAACATAAAAACAACGTGTGTACCTGTTTGCTAGACTAAGAAATCAGTCAAACTGCAGGATACAAGGCTTCATACCTTTATCGTCTTATCATACTGTACCTTTTACTTTACTTTACCTTGGCTCAACTTAGTTTTTATGCCTTGTTTTGCCCTGCAATCATTAATTGTTCCACACAGGGACAGCAGTTAGTCTAGGAACTTACAATGCTAAGATCAAGGGTTCAATTCCCCAGCAAATAGCCCAATGTGGCTGTGCTAGAACAAAACACGCACACTCTTTAACTTTAGTTTGAAGATACCTTGTATTTATACTCAGAAAACCTACTTGAGATATTAGACTCTAGTTATTACCTGAACAACTGTTGACGGGCATTACTAACTAAGTATTTAAACAAGGCCGCATTTAGCAATGCTATCATTGGGTGGTAACAGGATACACCTAAACTTGATAATAGTAAAGGAACAAAGGTAACTTGAAACAAGATCAACTTAACAATTTTCTTGACCAAGTGTTCTGTGAAATCTGTACACATATACAACAAAGAATGAATTTATAATAATTAATAATTCTACAGAAAGAAAAAAACTATGGTTATTCCTATATAATAACATTAACCACACTTTGAATCATTTATGCGTGTATATGGAATCATCCAAAATATTTGAGTGGTGGGGCATATACCCATTCTTCACTGGAGACCATAATGGCTCTTAGAAGCTATGCTCAGCAGCCAATAAGTGGCCAACTCCCCCTCACCCTTACTTGAGTCCTGACAATAGGTCCTCTAAAGCAGCCATTAATATTCTGTTGTCTGTCACTATATATATATGATCATTGCATGAGCCCAAGCCAAGACCCACCTTGTCTGGTCCAGTGTAATTCCGAATTGGCAAACCTCTTCCTTCAACCAGGAAGGTGGTGTTGAACATAATCCTGGTAAGGTCCAGCCCTCCATTCGTTTAGCAGCCATCTCTTGGCAATGCTGCTTTAGAAGCTGTATTTTTATGATTTTCAGGACTACTGTAATTGTGGTGGATGGGGTCATCACTAGATCAATCCTCGGCTGGTACTGAGGTAATTTTTTTATTAATTCATAAAGTTTCTGCCATAATGGATAAGTAACTATAGAAAAACAACAATGCATAATAATTATTCATATGTTAAACCAAATAAAGAGCAATTAGAATATGCATAATTGGACATTTATATTTTAAATAACTTAGTACTGGGAGTTAACCAATCACCTAAGGGAATTCTATTTAGAATAATCGGAAACAAATAATAAAAGTACTTGGAGCTCAAAACGGATTTACTTCGTGGACATATGTAGTTTTTGTTGTTGTTGTTTTGCCGAAGGGAATATAAACTTTCTCCAGAGGGAGTTAACAAGTTCATATCAGGATTGAATATTGTAATATCCTTTGCAATACAAATGAATCGGTAAACACAGGCTTGATAAATTGTTAAAACTCCATATTCTTTAAACTTGTTAGTCATAGATGCTCTATATGGAAGACCAATCATTAGTCTTAAGACTTTCTTTTGTAATATCCAGATTGGTCTTAATGCATAGATATTTGTACCCAATGCACTTAAACAATAAGTCGTTTGACTATAAAAGATGGCATAGCAAATTTGATAAATTGCTCGAAGTGGAAACACTTTCTTACACCATATAATAATATATATTATTCTAGCATTTTTTTTTGAAGTTATTTCTATTTGTTTACCCCATCTAAGATTGTTCTGAATAACACCTCCAAGAATCTTAATTGAATCAACCCTGGATAAAGCATTTCCTTTCATATTCAAATCGGCATTAACTATTCCCTTGAAATGATTATATATTGTGACTTTATACCATTAACTGAAGTAAAACATTGTCTATTTCTCAAATACGATTTTAAGGTGTCATACATTTTACCTCGTAGACCATAATGATTACATTTGAAAAGTTTGTTTGTTTGTTTGTTTG